CCGGAAAAACCTCGGCAAACTTCTCCAAAGCCAATCCAATACACAGCTGCTCCCTGGCCCTGCTGCCTTTGAAGTAACTCTGACAGGGCTTGTCACAAACCCCACTTTTTTTTTCCTTTTTTTTTTTTTTTTTTTTTTTTTAACAAGGAAATAAAATGCAAATTGCCGTGTCACCGCATTGATGACTGTTGGGTTTAGGGGAGGTGTTGTTCTGTTTGTATTTGATTTACACACTTTCACAAGTGACTCTTGGTCATCAGCCTACAAGAGTTTGATCAAAGCTCTTGGCAGGCACCGGCAGCACAAGTATTGCCACTGGAAAGCCAGCAGAGAAATAATTAAGCCATTTCAACGGGAAATAAAGCCCCACTCTTTTTTTTTTTTTTTTGTAAATAAGAATAACAAAGCACTGAAACAGGGCAAAAGCCCCTGTCTCAGCTGCCTAAATTTTAGGCTGGTTGTGGAAAATGTTCATCAAAATGCTAGACCCAGGCAGAGGGGAGCTGGGACACCAGGATACCTCTGCAAGGGCTGGGCTGGGCAGGGGTGGAGATGGGGCCCAGCTCAGGGTGATGACCCCCTGAGGGGGTTTGGAGCCTTTGGGGGATGGAGGAAGCTCTGCATTGCACCAGGTGATTGATCCGATTATGGTGATGGAGAGTCTCTCTGGAAGAAGATTGTTGCCTGAGGACTTTAACCCCGCTGAGCATTCGCTGCTCAGCTACTTGGAGAAAATCTGCATTCTTCATTCCAAGAGCAGGAACAGAGAGGCCCTTCCATGTCTTGCAGGTGGCTCTGCACACCCAGATGCGATTAAATTCCATAATTTCAGAAAACAACACTTCCTTTAAAGCGTTCACTTTTGGGACAGCAAATAAGACATTTCCCACCAGAATGGTTTCCTACCCACTTGCAGCAGCCCAGGCGCCCTGCAAACCAGATCACAGCAGGCATCCTCCAGAAAAATCTCCCCACCTTTAGCATGCAGGCCCCTGGCCAGGAAGATCTTCAGGGATCTCTCCCTCCCTCCTTAGGGCTGTTTGTTTCTGCAGCCAGAGATTAGGATCAAAAGGTTTCTGAAAACGACTCTTCCCACTCGCCAGAGTCAGAGGGAACAGCACAATTAGAAACACTTCAAATGCTTGACCCACGCTCGAGCCTGCAAACAAAAGTTGCAAGGAGAGGCTGATGTTTTCCAGGCCCAATTAGCATAATGTTGTAATTCCCGAGCTCTCGGGCTGCCTGCATCCCTTCGCCCCGGCCGGCTCCAGCTCCCTCCTTCTGATCCATCACCATATGCCCGTCTTTTACAGTTCTTTGGTGCGTGATGCTCAGAGAGTGGATAATTAGCTAAATGAATTAATTGACATTCATACTTGTAATTAGCAACCGGTTACAAGCAGCTATTCTCCTTGGGACGGCTAAAATTTCTCGGGGATTGGTGTTAAAACACTGGAAAATCGTTCGGGGTAAATAACGCGCGGGCCGTGAGCGCCGATGGCGCCCGGGCTGTGAGAGCCGCATCGCGGTGAACAAGCCCGAGCAAAGGCGGAGCAGGCTGTGGAACGTGTTGGAGAGTGTTGGATATGCCTCTGCTGCTCGGGAGGAGGAGAAGTTTCCAGCTTCGGAAGAAATGCGGGCCAGATGGGCGGCTCCAGCCGGCGGCTCCCGGCTCACCCTTTGCACCCTTTCCAGCCCCGCTTGCCGCGGAGCTCGCAGCCAGGCCCCGGTAAGAGGAGGCTGCTCAGGCAAAGCAATGGAAATTGGATGTCGTGAGTGTTAATTGAACCATTAATTACTGCTGAGAGCGGGGGGAAAAAAGAAAAAAGTGACGCATTGGTTTTTATCGCTTCTTGGAGTAGTTGGGAGGATGAAGTGCTCAGGGGCTGGGCAGTGGGGGAAGGGGCTGTGGTATGAGGTTGATCTTTGTTGAAATGTAGGTTTGTCAGATGTTTAGGGGATGCTGGAGATGCTGCTGATGCAGCCACAGCTAATCCCAGCACCCTGTGAGGGCAGGAGTGGGACCCACACTAGGAACAGGGTTAGTGGAGCCTGAGCAGCTCTCCTGTGCTGCTGGGGGAGACCACAACAGGGGCTTGGACAGGATTTCAGGGGCTTGGTCTCCTGTTGGGGAGACCACAACAGGGGCTTAGAGAGGCTTTCAATGTGTCCGAAACTGCAGGCATCCCATTCCCAGCCATGGGGTGCAGTCATCACCCACAGGCCCTGACAATCTGCCCCCACAGCCCCTGAGAGGAGATGTGAAGGGACCCCACGGCCCCAGCATGTAGGGTGAGCTGAAGGTCTCTTCTCCCTGGAAAAGGCCCCCCAAAACCTGGGAACTGATGGGAAGGAGGGAGGGCAGCACACAGGCACCACCACACAAATGGCTCGTTTATGGAAAAGAGGAGAAAAAGTGATATTAATGCACTTCATAAATCAAACTCTCACATCCTGCTGCATCAGGAGCTCTGCACCAGAGGGACGACAGCCTGGGCTGGGGGCACAAGGGAGACCAGGGAGGATGAGCCCTCCAAGTGCTCAGGGACAGCACTGGGGTGCCCTGCCCTGTGCCACCCTCTCATCCTGGCAGGCTCTGCTCCCCAGCTCTGGCTGGCACAGAGGCAGTGGCAGAGGGTGACAGGACAGGGTGATAAAGTGGCACCCCACGAGCCTGGGTCTCCCTCAGAGAAGGGCTCTCCCACGGCTCCTGGCACGGGCTCAGGGCTGCATCGCTCTGCCAGGAGCCCTGTTCTTGGCTCCTCCAAGCTATCAGAGCTTTAGATTTCCCTGGCAGAGCCTGGAGTTTAACTGCTGGGGAAAGGGACCAAAAAAAAAGAAGCCAATCTCAGAAGAGAGGCAGTGGGAAAGGCTGGGCCAAGGAGCTGTCATGCCACCCCTTCAGCTACTACACACCCCAGTACGTTCTCAAACACACTGCACAAGATAGCAGGGAGGCTAATTTTTCTTTAGCTGCAGGCAAAAAAAAAAAAAATCAATTACAAGGTAACCTATTTTTCAACTCCTCCATTGGTATTTACTTAATTTCAAGGCCGGCCTGCCCACCCTGCCAGGGAGAGGATGAGGGAGGCCGTGTGCCAGGGGCTGAGCCAGGCTCAGGGTTTAGTTTGGGTTTAATTGAGACACCAAAGCTCAGAGCAATGAGGTTTGTTTGAACGGGACAGCACATGCCATGGGACACCCAGGCAGAGTCCAGCCCTGGTGGGATGGGGAGCACCAGAGGCTCCCTGGTGCTTGCAGGGCAGCAGGAAAAGCCCAGGGGGAAGCAGGACTTTCTGGAGAAGGTTTGGGATGTGCTGGTGGCCCATGTGGGCAGGGACTGCAAGGGGACAGGAATAGCTCCAGGTGTCCACAAGAGTCCCAGGGAATCCCTGGGGACAGGAGCACTCAGGGTACATGAGGACAGGGCCTTCCCAGGACAGCCCAGGAACACTTGGACATCTGAAGAGGTTACACAGACACGGGACACCCGGGGGCACAGGGGGACAGGACACTGGGGGTACACAGGGACAGAGACACAGGACATTCCTGGACACAGGGACATAGGATCCTGTGGGTACACAGGGACAGGGACCCCCGGGGGACACACGGACACGGGGGAAACAGCCACCGCCAGGGGAAACTCAGACACAGGACATGGGGGGACACTTGGACATGGGGGACACACAGACCCGGGGAGACATACAGACACGGGGGGACACATGGACACAGGGGGACACATGGATACAGGACACGGGGAGACATAGGGACACGGGAGGACACACGGACACGGGGGGACATATGGACATGGGGGGGAACATACGGCTACAGAACACAGGGAGACCTAGGGACACGGGAAGACACACGGACATGGGGGGACACACGGACACGAGGGGGACACACGGTCACAGGACACGGGGGGGACACACGGACAAGGGGGGACACTTGGACACAGGGGGACACACAGACACGGGGGGACACACGGACACAGGATACGAGGGGACACACAGACACAGGGGAACACTCGGACAAAGGGGCACACACGGACACGGGGGGACACACGGACACGGGGGGACACACGGACACGGGACGCCCGCGGGTCCGAGCGGTACCGGTGCCGCCGCGGGCCGCCAGGGGGCGCCGTTGCTCCGAGCGGCGGCGCGCACCCCCCGCCCCCCCCGGCGGCCGCGGCCGCCCCGGCCCCGGCCCCGGCCCCGGCCCCGGCCCCGGCCCCGGCCCGCAGCCGCGACCCGCCCCGCCCGTCCCCGCCCGTCCCCGCCTGTCCCCGCGGCCGGGGGCGGGCACCGCGGGGGGACGGCGCCCTCCGGTACCCCCCGGGCCCCCACGGAGCGGAGAGAGGGCGGCAGGGAAGGGAGGGAGGGGGGCTGTGAGGAGGAGGGGGCGGGGCGGAGCGAGGCTCGGCCAATCAGCGCGCGGCGGTTTCAAGAAGCCCCTTCCGCGCCCCGCCCCGCCCGCGCGGCGCCGCGCGGCCCCCGGGGGGGACTCGGGCTGAGGGGGGAGGGACCCGGACCGGGACCGGGAGAGAAACCGGGATCGGGACACGGCCCCAGTGCCCACCCTCCGCTGCCCTGGGGGAGGGCATCGCCCCCACGCGTGCCCGCGGCCGCGGGGCTTCGGGTGCTGCCAGCGCGGGGCTTCGCCTCCGCGTCCCGGGCTGCCGGGGCAGGGTGGCACTCGCCCCCGGGTGATGGTGGGGACGGCCCCCAGGCCTTTATGAATAATGCAGTGTTATTAATTATGCAATTTAATTAATTATGCGCATGCAGCCTCTACCAGCGGATCGCTGCTGCTGCCTACATTAAAAGCCAAAAGGCTGGTTGGGGTTCTGCGCCCCGGAGCCGCTCAGGGCACCGGCGATGTTTTGGCACCGGCGATGTTTTGGCACCGGGGATGTTTTGGCACTGGGGATGTTTTGGCCAACGCCGAGCTCCCTCCAACCGCCGGCACAGCTGCGCGGGTAAACAGGAAACCCCAACACCGCAGCTCCGGCCAGAGGCAGAAACCCCGAGCCCACGGCAGGCAAATGCTCCTTCCCAAAAACATGAGCGGCTCGGCGGCGTGGGGATGGGTGGCAGCCCCCCGGCAGCGCTGCCTGCGCCGGGTTCATTTGAATGCGAGCCATGCAGAGCGCTCGCCACCGCCACTGAGGTGTGGAAATCTCGCCCAGACGAGGAGGGGGTTCTTCCTGCTCTCTCAGGTTTAGAGGGAAAAAAAGCCTTATTAGAAGAATTTTAGGCACCAAATCCAGCCGCTCTCAGTGGTTGCGTGGCAGTCCAGGGAGGTTGTGAAATGGAGGGGGTAGTTTTGGAGGGGTGCAGGGAGTGTGTTGGATGGAAGCCCCTCTCCCGTTTTCCACATTAGCATCTCCAGCAGTCATCATGGAGTTTTGGTTTTCCCGTGGGAAAAGGGAATACCAGGCTGGCAGCAACATGGAAAATAAAACAACCTATAGCTTGGTCAAAGTTAAAGTTCAAAATCCAAACTGCCAGCAGCAGTGCCTGGTGGGAGGACAGTCCTGCAACAGGCTGGGGTGCTGTGTTCCAGGCAGGAATGCAGCCTGTACAGCCAGGATGGCAGTGGTGTCCATCTGCCAGAGCACACTGCCCACTCACCCACTATGGATAGGGGCCATGTCACTTTGGGGGCTCACGGAGCCTTTAGAGCTACTGCACCTTTCTAAGTGCAGGGCACAATTAAGGGTGGAAATTTTAAAAATGTGCTTTTTTTTACAGGTGATGTTCCAGCAGAATATTCCCAGTGAATTGACAAGCACAGACTTTCTTCCCAGCAACGGGCACCCTAAAGAGCCCTGGGTAGAAGCTGCCAGGCAGTGATGGACCAACAGCTCAAGGAAGGGGCCAGGAGAAGGGAAGCTGCTCTGGGAGGTCAGGAAAGGCCAGCTAACCACCAAAACTCGGGAGCATGTTGATATCCTGACAAGGCCTGGTGGCAGGGGTTTCAGGGCTCCTTTCTGCTCCCAGGAAGTCAGGGATGGGTGCAGGGATGTCGCCAGCCCAGGCCAGAAGCAATAAAGCGCCTGGAGTGATGCAGCAAAACAGGATGGAGTCGCGTGTCGAAATAAATCATCCATGGAGGCAAGGCAAGGAGGAGGAGGAGGAGGAGGAGGTTTGCTGCTCTCAAGCCTCCCTGTGTCTAACAAAGCCTCAGAAACCCCAGGTGGGCAGCAGGAGCTGGGGCAGGATCCAGCCAGCCGTGGCCCCAGCTGTCCCAGAGCAGAGCCGGTCCTGGCCAGGCATCCCGCTGCTCCAGCTCTCCCAGGAGCTGCTTTTCCCATCCCTTCCCAGCTCCCGCAGCTTCACCTTGTGGCAGGCAATGTACAGAGCTGCCAGGAGTGATAAAATGGCTGTCCCCCAAATTTATGGAGTTTATCTGTGAATAACTCTTGGAGGTGAAGCGGCCGTTGAGCCGGGGAGCAGGAAGGCTTTGCTTTGGGAAAAGCTCTCCCAGGGGCGGTGCAGGGCAGGCAGGAGCCCAGAGCCAGTTCCAGGGGCCGTGCAGGGCAGGCAGGAGCCCAGAGCCAGTCCCAGGGCCAGCAGGGGCATGCCCTGTGCCCCCCAGCTCGCAGGGCTGGGGCATGGCCGGGGTGAGCTCGCTGCTCGCCCACGCTGGGGGAAGCCGAGGGCTCGTTTCCCATCTGCAGCGTGTTTATTAGGAGCTAAGTCATGAAGAGGCTTTGGCACATCTCCGTGGCTCCTGCCGAGCGTGTTTAGCACAGCAGAGATCGCTGCTTCCTCCAGCAGCACGTGCGTGCCCGGGATTTCCGTGCTGGCCAGGCATTGTGCCCCATGCTCCCTTCCCATGCCAATCTTTTCTTCTACCCCACAAAAAAAAGGTTGTATCAATGAGCTATGGAGCAGCATCCTGGTTCCTGGGGAAGCACAGCTGAGGCTGAGCAGGCTGGAGCCTCCCCCTCATACCCCCTCCCCACTCTGCTGCAGTAATATCCATCCTAACTTTCTGAGTCTCTTCTAATTTTGGAGGCCGTAAGCAAAGCAGGCACTGTTGCAGCCAAACGAGGCTGCCAATGTTTCCTTTAAAAGCTGCTTTCACTCCGAAGGACTCTTCTAGATGGTTTGCTTTTAATAGCAGGCTTCAGGGTGCAACGCCCAGCTCGTGGCCAGGGCTCTCTTTGGAGCAGGAAGGGACTGGATGGCACTGGGAGCAGGGCTGGGGACGTGCAGGGAGCCACACACATCCGTGGTGGGCCGTGGCAGTGCACACGTGCATCCCTTTCCTGGTTCAGACCAGCAAAGAGCCTCACCCCCTTGCAGAGCTGATCCCACTGCAGCCCATTTCCTCTTTTTTCCCTCGCCAGCTTGTGGGGAAATCTTTCTAGCAGAGGGGGACAGATCCAGCTCCTACCCATGGTGCTATCTCAGAGGAGAAGGAGAGGCCAGAGGAGCCATGGAGAAGCAGGAGGCAGTGAGGTCAGTGTGCTGGTAGGTGTGAGTGCTTTGCAGAACCCAATTGCTGCTTCAGTATAACCAGATTCAGGAAAATGAAGCTGAAGTGTGAAAAATGAAAGTGAAAAGATAGGAACCAACCCACGGCTATTTATTCTAAAAATACTGACCTAAATACTTAAGCGCACATATAAAAGTAGTTGTCTTTGCTGATTTCCTTTATGAGAGTCTCCTGGTTTGGTTATTATTTCACTCAGAAACCAGAAGATGAGGATTTTTGGAGACATGGAGACTTGTGTTCTAGCCTGGCACTCCGGAAGTCTTTTGCCCAAAGCTGTATGCCCAAATGTCATCTGAAAGCCCAGCTTTGAAATTCATTCATTAAGCTAACGAGGCCCTGTGGTGAGCAGCCCTCGCCTGCTCTGATCAGAATAGGAAAGGTTTTGGCAGGGTCTCTGCAATGGCTCTCATGTTTCTCCGTGGGTGGGATGATGGCAGTGGCCATGGGCACACTGTGGGCATGGCAAAGCCCCCAGAAGAAATCTGGGAGCAGAGGGAGGCACTGGGGCAGTGGTCTTGGCACAAAGCATCCCTCAGCCTGTGGCATTGGCAGGGCCAGGCTGCAGTTCCCATCTGGGCTGTTGTACTCATCTGGGCTGTTGTACACATCTGGGCTGCTGGGGTTCACATCTGGGCTGTTGTTCCCCTGGGCTGTTGTTGCAGGCAGTCACCAGCCCCTGCCCCCTCCCCACTCATCTGGCAGCAAGCAGGGCCAGGATGTGGGGAGGCTGTGGGCAGCCTAAGTACTGAGCCCGGCTTAGTGCAAAACTCCCTGGGACCAGTGACACGACATGGGAGCACCTCTCCTGCAGGCAGCCCTCTAACTAGGCATTTTGGGGTTTCCAAAAATACATCCCTGGAGGTGTCTGGGCCAAGCAGTGGGGTGGATGCTGAGGGAGGCCCAGGTGCAGGAGCCCAGGCAGTGCAGGGATGGACCCTGCACAGTCACAGCCCCCGATGCAGCACCGTGACCTGCTCTGCACGACCTTCCTGGGGAAGATTATGAAAGTGCATTACGTGTGGAGGCAAAACGGATGGAGGAGCAGGCAGGAGTGCTGGGTCAGCAAGTCATGCAGGCTGGATGAGCGGTGAGTGCTCAGAGGGAGAAGGAAGACACCGCACAGAAAACAGTAAAGGTAAAAGCCGGGTGGGGGGGAAGCGGCTCCCTGCCTGAAGGTCTCAGGGGGCAGAGCCAGTCACAGTGTTTCTGTGTGACAAAGTGAAGGTGCAAGCCAGGAGAACGTGAGCTTGATAAAATGGGTTGGATTGGGGTTTTTTCAGTTAGAAAAAGGGGTGCTCAGTGCCGTGTGGGGGCAGGAAAGGGGTCCCTTTGGACTGTGGTCCATGGCCTGGGGGCGAGTCTGTTCCATACAGCATTCTGCAGGCCAGGGGATGGATGAGCACCAGCCAGGTCTCCTCACTGCCTGCTGGGAAGCAAGGTGGCCATGCATGGCTGGGTGTGTGAGCGGAGCCAGAGCAAGCCTTCCAAGCAGCAAGAGCCAAGTTTGAAACCTTGGAGGATGTTGCAGAGGTGAGTGTCCCTGAGGACACTGGCTCTAATGGCAGGCTGCTGACTGGAAAGCCTTTCCTATAGCCCTGAGGTCCTCCTTCCTCCCACAAAACTCCCAGGAGCAATGGAGGAAACCCTCGTGGGCAGCAGAGCCAGTTGGACCACGGTTCACCCTGCAGCAGCTTTTTACCTAAAATAAGGCTGCTAAAATAAGTACCCAAACTGTCACCGCGCTGGCAGCAGATTTACAGCTCCATGCACGCACCTGGCACTGGTCCCACCCTGCTGGGGGAGCACCCACGGGGCAGCAGGGGAAGGTCTGCTGCAAAACCCAAGGTCACCCTCTGTCCCAGGGGCTCTGGCCCCGTTGCAGGGCGCTGGAGGGGGCGGCTGGCTCGGGGCACTGCTGGCAGCACATATCAGGCGGAGACAGATGGAAGAGGTGACAGATAAAGGACTCAGCCTGGAGAAGGAACAGGAGAGATAGGACCCAAAGGCTCTGCCCCAACAGAGAGAGGAGGCTCAAAACCAGCCCCAGCAGAGCTGGATTTAGATCCTGTAATCCTGTTCCCTGCCTAAACCCCTCCTTGCCCAGGGCAGGGGGGTGAGGAAACCACTGGTGTTGAACTGCAGATACTTGGTGGGGCAGTGGGGCTTTTGCCTGGCTCCCAAGGCAGCTGAAAACTGCTGCTACTCTGGAGAGGCTGCCATCCTTCATTGAGAATGGCTGGCACTGGGCACAGCTTGGAGGCTGTCCTGTGGGATGGCTGAGAAAACTCCAAGATGGGCACCATCCCATTCTCTATAGGGTCTGCAGGCACACACAGCTCTGCTGGCACCCCCTGGGAGAGTCCCTGCAATGCCATTGCCATAGGAGACTGACAGGCAGCACTTAGATGTGACCTCACTTCATGCCAGTGCCCTGCTTGGCCCCACACGGCAGCCACCAGAGCTCAGCCACAGGGAAGGAGCAGCGTCAGACACAGACAGCACCATGTGGGAATGTCAGCAGCACTGCTGGGAGCCAGGCTGGGGCTGTCACCCTGCAGGACCACAGCTCCTGCATGCTGGTTTGTGTGGGGAGAGGTATTTAATTGCACAATGTTCCTTGCAGGGAGATGCAGGTTAGTGGCAAAGGAGGTGGGAACAAGGAGAACCAGACTCGCCCAGAGCAGCTGGCACTGGCAAGAGGTGAGCAGAGGTGACACCTTGTCAGGGTAACCAGGGTCTGACATTTTGGGTTTTGCCTTTGCCCCGTTCTTCAGGAGTCCAACCACAAGCATGAGTTTGAGGCTTGCAAGTTGCCTGTGCTCCTCAGACAGGGCAGTCCTCCTCAGCTTTATCTCTGTCTCCTTCTCCCTTTGTGCCTTCTATCTCTGTTTGTCTCCTCTGCAGTGACAGGAACCCACAGAGTTAAAGCCCAGCTATGGGAACGCAGCATGGTTTCCCAGCTTTCCCAGGGGAAAGCCCAGGAGCTGTGTCCCACATGGGTGCTCCTGGGCTCCTTTGCAGTGCCTGCCTGCAGCCGAGGTTAGCGCAGGAATTGCGGGTGAGGAATTGGAGCTGCCACGCTGGGAGCTGCTGGGGAATAGCTGCCACGCTTTACATTCACAGCCCATCTATTTTGCAATAACTTCACCATGATGTTCCCACATAGACAAGCCTAAGCTAGCATAGATAATGAAATGGGTTAAAGGAGACAGGCGGAGGGAGAGGAGAGGAGCCAGCAACTGGTAGTAAATCAGGGAGAGAACAGGGTTACTTTAAATTCAAGGTCTTGGTGGCAGGGCAAGTTTGCTTTGTGCCAAGAGGCACGGGGTTCAGAGGATGAGACACAAGAGTGTCTTCTTGGTGGGGCCACCAACTTGTGTCCCCCACCAAACCCCACCCTGCTCCTGTCATTCCCCCACGCCTGCCCCATGGGTGTCACTGGGATTAAGCACAGCCAAGGCACCCATCCTGGCTGGTAAAGGGTGGTCAGAGGATCCTGAAGGAGGATCCTGGCAGGGCAGGCAGTGGGCTCTGCTCTTCAAGGCCTGCATGAGCTCTTGGTCAGGGCCTGGGGAGACCCAAGCGCTGAGACTCCCCCACCTTTGGCACGGGCTTCGAGGCAGTCCAAACAAGCTAATTAAATCCTGCTCTGCTTAATCAGAGCCATTGAGCACCAGTCAGAAGAAATTAATCCCGTGTTTTATTAGATGCTGTTTGAAGTCGTGTTTGGCACCTCGTCCTCAGTTCTCATCTCCTTCTGGGGAAGGAAGAAGGACATCTGTGGGGAAGAGCGAGGGTGCAGCAGATGGCAGCGGGGATGATTCAGGGGCTCGAGGAAGGAGCTGCGACTCCAGCGGCATCCCTGGGGTGGGGGGGGTAACGAGACACCTCTCCCTGCATCCCACAGCCTACCCCTCCCCACAGCTGAGAGTCTGTGAGCCAGGCAGGCATCCCAAAAATACATGTTCCTCCGCATTGCATGCTAATGGCTCTGCTCGAGAGGTCCCACCGCAATTAAAGCACAAGGAGCATTAATATGCAACGTGGAGAGGCCACTCTTCCCACAGCTACTCCCTCCCAAACCTGTCCTTCCTGCTGCACATCCCTGCCCACTGGGAGCTTGCCCACGGGGATCCCACAGCAGTCCCAGCGGAGCCGCTGGCAGTGTGCAGTAAATTTGAGCCTTCCCTTTGCTGTGCCCAGGGGATGCTGCCTTTTCCCCCTGGCACCCGGCACCTTCTCCTGCCTTCGGGCTCAGTGGAGCAGGATCTGTTGGGTGCCCACCAGGTGGGTGCCATGCAACGCAGCCCCGGCATGGGAGACACCCTGACAGCTGGGACAAATCCATGGGCAGGTGTTTAAAACAACCAGCTGGGTGATGGTTTGGGGTTTTTAATGACTTCTGGTGCTTTAATTGCTGCAACCCAAGAAAAACTCCTGACGAAGAGAAAGTCTGGCCAAAGTAAGGTAGCCCACAGGTGGCCCTCCACACCTTGGGAGCGCTCGGTAGCCTTGGTACATCTTCCTGCAACTCGGCTAGATGAAGCTGCTGGCTTTGGGTGTGGGGAATTTATTTTTTCCTAAATTTCCTGTCACAACTTGCGTTAAAACTTTGCAGAGCCACTTAATTGCATTCTGCGGTGGTGATGATATGAAATTAGTCTCCCTTCTGATCTTTAGCTAAGTTGGTCCAAAGCACCAGCTTATAATTTGCTCTAATCATCAGGTCGGGGGAGATGCGAAGGCAGGGCCGGTGCCTGGTGAATTCACACGGGCTGGGAGTTTCCACCCTCACCTCAAATGCTGGCATTTGGCACCTGGCAGGTCAGGCTCTGCCACCCTGGGATGACAACATTGATAATTTCTTTTGGTGCCACTTTGGGAAGGTTTTCATCAACTGCTCTTGGCTGTTTCCACTAGAAAAAGCTGGGAACTACAGCTGTGCGCAAGAGAGGAGGGAAAGCCGTGGTGGTTTCCTGTCTCCCTTCTCGGCCTGCTCTCTCCTCTGAGCATCTCGGAAACATCCTCCACTCCTGCCTGGAGACCTGGAACCAGACTGCTGAAGGCACCTGGAGAGGAAGGGATCCTGCCTCCCATCTCACTTCCCTGGGCTTGCTTCATGTCCCAAACTACTCCAGGGGTTGGGGAGAGGAAGTGGCTGGGTTTTGCCTACTCACCTATCCCAAAAAATCATAGAGTTACAAGAAAACAAGCTCCCGATGAACAGGAGCAGGGCAGGGCAATATTCTGGGCACAGAGAGGCCCCTTTTGCTGCCGAGGGCATGGCGCCCATCATTCCAGTGGCATTAGTGCTTTCCACCTCCACGCAGGAGGTACAGGATATCATGGTATTATTTTTAACCAGGGATATTTAGTGAACTTCTCACGTGCTGCTGGAGGGTCAGATTTATCCCATAGCCTCAGTCCCAGGGGACACTCCCAGTTATTTTTGAACCCATCAGAGCAGCAGAGGAGCAGAGGGATGCAGAGGCTCGGGAGACACAAAGTCTGGGGTTTGTCTGGCCTGTCCCTCTGGTCTGTGCTGCAGAGATGTGCGTGGAGCAGAGCCCCTCACGCCTGCCTTGTCATCACCGCCGCCACCCCGGCCCCCACCATAAAACCCAAAACTTAGGCGAAGCCCCAGATTTTCTTTTTCAGCTGAGACGATCTTGGACGATCCTGCAAGTTTTGATCCTTTTCGACCTACCGCATTGCAAGACTTTTTTTCTTCCCCCCCACCCCCCCCACCCAGTTCAATTTAAACCTCAATTTAACCTGTGAACGAGTTTGGCCCTGCTCGGGCAGGTCCCGGTGGCCGTGAACATTCCCACGGGCGCCGCAGCGCTGCCGCCGCCGCGGGAGTCCCTCCCTCCCCCGCCCCGCGGCTCCCCCGCCGCCGCCGCCCGGAGCCTCCGAGCCCCCGCACGCAGCGCATGGCCCCGCTCGCACCCGGCATCCCCGTTCTAGCGGGGGGTAACTCATCACACAGCCTCGGCCAGGCGCGCAGCCGCTGGGTTTTGTTCAGCCACTCACTTCGGAGGGAGAGGTGAGGCCAGGGCAGGGGGAAGGAGCTGTTTGAAGCTCTTATTTTTGTGCCGCTCCAACATCTGTCCCCATGGGCGCCGCCACCCGAGGCCGGCACTGGTGGTTAGTTTGGTTCTGCAGAAGCAGATGTTGGTGGGGCAGGGAGGCAAAGCCCTGAGTTTTAAATTGGAGGCGCGCTGGGACACGGCGTGGCCCTGCCCGAGCCCCCGGAGAGAGGCGGAAGGGTCCCCACAGACCCTCGCCCGGCCCGCGGGGGGTGCCTTTCCCCGCGTGTTTTTAAGGGCAGCGAAGCGAACGAGCCCCGTGACTGGAGCTGGCAGCCAGGACACTCTGGCCCCGGGCTCCGCTCAGGGCTCCGCGCAGCCGGGCGCGCCTGGCCCCCGGGGTGACCGCCGGCAGCGCGGGGCCGGGGTGCGCGGCGCCGGGCGGGCCCCGGCGGTCCGGAGGAGCAGGCGGCGTGCCCAGCCCCCGGCCGCCTCCCTCCCTCCTTCCTCCTCTCCGTGCCTGCCTCCCGCCGGGTCCGTCCCGCCCGGCGCCGCGGAGCGGCAGCGCCCGCCCGGCCGCACCGCCGCTCCCCGCGCCCCCCCGACGGGCGGTTTCAAGTCCCCCCTTCCGAGGTCTCCGCGGCGCCGGCCAATCAGCGCGCGCTGCGCGCCGCGGCCCGCCGCCTTAAAGGGCCCGCGCGCCGCGCGGCGCTGGGGAAGCGGCGCCGCCCGCGGGCCGAGCCGGGCGCGCTCTAGGACCGCGCGCCGCCGCCGCCCGCCCTCCCTGCCCGCCGCGGGAGGCCGCCCGCCGCCTCCGGAGCGGGGCGTGGCGCGGGGAGGCCCCGCCCGCGCCCGGCGGTGATTGGCGGCAGCGGGCGCCCGTCGGCGGCGGGGGCGGCGCCCGGCGCGGCCACGTTCGGGTGCGCGGCCAGCGGCGCGTTGGGCGCAGCGAGCGGCGGCGGGCGCGGGGCGATGGGGGCGCGGCGGCGGCCGGCGCTCTGACAGCCCCCGGCGCTCCCTCGGCGGCGGGCGCAGCGGCTCCGGCGGCAGCGGCGGCTCTTGGCGGCCGTCCCCCTCCTCCTCGGCGCGGACCATGTTCGCCAAAGGGAAGGGCTCGGCGGTGCCCTCGGACGGGCAGGCGCGGGAGAAGTAAGAGCGGCAGCGGCGGCGGTGGCGGCGGGGGGAGCGGGGCGGCGGTGGCGGCGGGCGGCTTTGTGCGGGGCGGGAGCGGGGCGCTTCTTCCTCCTCCGACCCGGCGCTCGGCTGTTGCAGGCTAGCGCTGTACGTCTACGAGTACCTGCTGCACGTCGGCGCCCAGAAGTCTGCGCAGACCTTCCTGTCCGAGGTGAGCCCCGCCGCCCCCCGCGCCCTTTGTGCGCCGCCGCACGCCCGCCCTCCATCTTGCGCGGGGCGGCGGCGGCGCCGGGGGGTCGCCGCGCGTGGGGGCCCACGCCCACCCGCGACCACCCCCCGCCCGCACCGCCCCCCCCTCCCAACCCACCCCCCGCCGTCTTCCTCTTGCCCGCAGATCCGGTGGGAGAAGAACATCACGCTGGGCGAGCCCCCCGGCTTCCTGCACTCCTGGTGGTGGTAAGTGCGGGGGTGTCCCGTCGCGGGTGGGAGCAGCCCCCCGGGGGCGGGGGGTGCGCGCCGGTGGCGCGGGGCCCCGCGGGGTACAGCCCCGGTAGTGGCGTGAGTCAGCAGCGGCGGCGAGCCCCGAACCGCCCCGGCTCCCGCTCCCCGCGGGCGTCGAGGCGCGGCGGAGCCACCCCCGGCCCCGCGGGAGCGGCGGGCAGGGCTCCCGCTGGAGAGCTGCCGGGCCAGCCGCAGGCACCGGGCTGTGCCGGTGCCGCTGGGGCGCCCAGGGGAGCAGGGCTGGGCGGCTGCGAGGCTGGAGAAGTCCCTGAAGTCTCTCGGGGGTTATCCCTTCAAGGTGTTGCCTCTTGAAGGCTACTTTTGCTTCCTCAAGCGCCCAGCATCCCCACTCCTGAGTCAGGTCCGAGGAGTGTAAAGCTGGGATGCACAGCTGGATCCAGCTGAGGTGCCAGCCCAGCCGTGGGCTGGGAAGCCGCTCACCTGCGCTGACCTGGGTGTCCGATCCCTGATGAGTAACTGCTGTTCTCCCGTCTCTCCCTGCCGTGCAGCGTGTTTTGGGACCTGTACTGCGCGGCTCCCGAAAGGCGAGACACTTGTGAACATTCGAGTGAAGCCAAAGCCTTTCATGACTACGTGAGTAACAAGTTTCTAATCCTCGCGGTAATTACGGCGTTGGGGAGCTCCGGCGCACCGAGAGCCAACCTAACGTAACCGACTGGCAAAAAGCGTGGGGTTTTTTTTTAACCAGCAATGTTCTGATTTGACTGAACAGTATTTCATAATGTTGCAATTATGTAAATGAGCTCAGATACTTATCTTAAGCACTTAAAGGCATTCGGGCTAGTGGTAGAATTAAGAAGTTTTGCATAGCAATGGACAACAAAGCGTTTATAGAGGGTCGATGGCAAGATATTTCATGCTGAGGACACTCTGGTGGTGAGGTGTTTCATGCTGAGGGCACCTTGCAGGATGGGCGGGGGTTGGATTTTGGTGGGGAGGAGAAGGGGGAATTCCCCAAGCCGCTGTTGAATGCCCCAGTTAATATCTCCCTGCCTTTGGCAAGGCTGGGGGCTTCCTTGGTTTCCTGAGTCCTCCCTTGATCCCAGAAGGGGAGAGGTGTTGTCTTGTTGAAGCTGGTGTTGCAGACCCCCGTTGGTTGGTTGGTCGGTCATTGTGCATCTTGGCTCTCCGTGGTTTGGGTTGCTCTCTGCAGAGGTGGCAGTACGACCCAGGGATGGATGGTGGCATGCTTGAGTCTGAGGTGTTTCCCAAAGGATCCCTCTTGCCAAGGGTGCATGGCATGTCTGCCCCACGGGTGACGGGTGGGCTGCCCGCTCCCGTCCCGCACACGGTGCCCGCATCCACAGCGTTGGGAGGAATGCGCATCAAAGCATTAGTCACCTGGCTGCGGGCTTGGACCCCAGTCAAGCGCGTTTAAACCTTGTAGCAGGAGCTGGTTTTGTCTGCTCCAGGGAGACTATGGTATGGAAACCATTTTTCCTCCCTTCCCAAGTTTCTGGTTGCCTGGACATGCCTGGCTGGGGATATGTGAGGGTTTGCTGGCGAGCAGTGCCAGGCGAGTGTCTCGGGGACCTCCGCGGCTCTCACACGCTGGCACTGGGCACAGCAGTCACCCTGGGGCACGGGCAGTGCCAGAGAGGCTGGGCTGGCTGCTGAGCTGCCTCTTGTCTCTTCCCACCCCGCTGGGTCTTGGGACAAGTGTGTCTGTGTATTTGCTAGGTGGAGTTTGTCTGTCTGTCCATCCCTGCGGCCGCTGTCTGCGTTGCTTGTTTTCACTGGGTCGGATTAAGATGGTGAACTCCTGAACCAGGGGTCAGAGCTGATAACCAGCAGCATGTCTAGCAGTTGTTGGCTTCTGCTGGCTTCCTGGATGTTTTGGGGCAAATTGTGGGGGGTTTGGGAGCCTAGATGGGACAGTGGGGTCATCAGGAGCAAGGCAAAGGTAGATCTTTGGGCAGCAGAGCCACAGGTGAAGATGACATTAGCAAGCAAGACTTGGTAATGCTCCATCCACAGCAGCCTCCTCATCGTGTCTGAGGATTTAGTGTATTTAGAGAAATTAATCTTTTTTTAGCTTGGTAATAATTCTAACAATAGGCCTGAGTGCATTAGATGATTCGCATAAACTTCTTTAATACACGTTGCTTTAAGCTTACAGTAAATAGACACAATTCTGATTGTTTTTAATTCTCAGTGTAATGCAGTTTTCTAAGAGCCCCGAGTGCTTTACCTTTTGGGTAACTCCTAAGATTCTCACTCCCCTGTGCTTTGGCTTGGTGGCACTGGGTTGGTTTCCCCAGGCAGTGTTTTGGCCCCAAGACAGGACTTGTGCTTCTCTGTGGCGTGGCTGCTGACGGATGCTCAGGGTGCAGTGCCTCGTTGAGGAGTGGTGTTTTCCTGGCACAGCGTGTACTTTACAGGGCAGGGACCTACCTGGCCAAAACTTAAATATTGACCAAAGAACCGAATGATAACCGTGGGAGTGTGAATAGAGCCTTGTTCCTCTCCAGCTCCCGGGCAGGCTGCTGGTGCTGGTGAGCGTGGTGGGCAGTGTCAAACAGCAAACCCAGCGAGCCATCAGCAGTGCATGGCAGCTAAAATGGGATATGAGCCCCAAATGGGGCTGGATCAGTGAGTCATGAATTGCTTCATGTGGTGGCTGTGGTTAAAAATATCCCAATCTAAGTCTTGCCCCAGGTTTGTAGAGCATTGTGTTTACACTTGGCCAGCAACGGGCAAACTCTGTGTGTCCTGCTTGGTGTTTGCCCAAAATATGGTGTGTGTTAACCCTGATACTGTGAGGGGATGCTTTGGGAGCCTGGCACATCACTTTCCCAGAGCCAACACTGGAGAGGTTCTTGCCTGGGACGGAGATCTTTTGGGAAGGGGGAGCAGTTCTCCTTATTAGCAGGGTGGGATTTGCGTGGTGTGTCATTTCCACTTTATTTTCTGGCATAACTGTATGAAAACTGTTAGGAGCAGCAGGACAAATTGCTGATTTCCCCCTCCAGTTTTGAGTGTTTAAATCTTCAGTGAGAAATTAAAGTAAGGAAGGAAATTAAGAAACTAAGGAGAAATCCCACCACTCTTTTTTGAGGTGACCCTTGAAAACTGTGGAGTCCTGTGAGTGCTTGAAAATACTGCTTTTTACCTTTCCCCTGAGGTTTTTCTCCCAGGCTGGGACAAAAGCCTGCTGGGACTTTGTAGAAAGGTGCTTGTTGGAAGAAGAGTGATAGGAGTGGGGATTCACCTGGCACAGGCAGGAGGAATGCTGCTCTGCTCTACCCTTCCATCTCTGGCATGTCTGTGCATCTGTTAACATAACTATCAAGTTGTGTTGTTGCAGGTTTCTTCATCATCCCCTTCCACCTGTACACAAAGAGTTTGTCCAAGCTAACAGCCCCACAAGCACCAACTCCTAAAACTCAGCCATTGATTTAGGTTCCTCCAAGCCCCGTGGCGAGCAGGCCAGCGTTCCAGCACGCTCCCAGAGCTTGCAAGGGGATCTCTGGTCATGACAGGGGATTTCAGCCACCGCGTTATCTGGGAATTGGCCGATGGCTGCTCACAGTTGAGCATTTCAACGCCGTGAAAGCCAATACAATTTGAGTTAGCGGTGATGACTGCCAGTTTAAATACCGCAGTGAATTTCTGTCAAAGAGCTAATACATAGAAAGGGGAATTGCAGAAAACTTGATCACCAGAACCACTTCAGTCGATTTTGGCCTCGAGCTACAGAAAATGAACTTAAATCTAGTTGACTGTTTGCTACATACTTTTTTTGTGGTGTTGCTCTGCCTGCACAGCCAGCTCATGTCAACATGCAGGAGAGAAAACTCGGGGTAGCCTTTAGCTGATGAAGACTTTGACTTCATCATGCCCTAGCTCTGTTTCCCCCAGTTTCTTCCCGAGGAGGACCTGCACTTGGGAGCACTTGAAATGCTGTTTTCTTTGCAGCACAAGATCTGCGGAGCTGTGGCTTCAACTTGCCATTAACGCAAAGCATTGATTTATTTGTTTTTGTTTTTAACTTTGGAGAGCTGCTGCAGTTCTTTCTAACTTGGGTCTGGAAAGATGTCTGCAGCAGTGGAGGTGATTGCTGCTGGAGGTGCAGTGGTTGGTCTGGGAAAAGATGGTGTGTTGGGGGCTCCTGTCTTGGTTGGGGATAACCAGGGCTCCTCCTTTTTATATGAAAAAGTCCCCCTTAGAGAGATCTTAGGGGGTTCTGAAGCTCGTGGGGATGGATGGATGGATGGATGGATGGATGGATGGATGGATGGATGGATGGATGGATGGAGAATTCAGGCTTGCTGGAGTTAGTGTGCTCGGTGGAAACAAGGTGAAGCCCAAGAGGCTGGAAGGACTTTGGTCTGCTGGCTGTACGGACTGGGGGTGTCCCAGGGATGGTTCTTGTATGATGAATCTGCCAGTCACACCCCACCAGGTGTGGGACAGGCACCCCATCCCAGCATCACTGCCTGGGTTTTCTTGGGCTGCAGGGAGCATTTCCTTGTCCCAGCACCATCTGCTCCCTAGGGTCTGTGTGGCCAGCTCGTGGCATGGTGCACTGGCAGGTGACATGGCCTTGTGGGACCCCTGGGAAGGGATGTAGTTTGTGCATGAAGGCTTTGGTATGACTGTCTCCTCTGCCATGCCAGGCTCTCTTCTTGCTCCAGGACCAGTGAAGGTTGTAGTGCCTTGTTTGAGGCACCCAAGGCTGTGAGGGTGGGACAGAGAGTGTTGATCCATGAGTACCTCTGTGGTGGTGGTGGTGATGGTCCATGAGAGCTTCTCCTGTTGTGTGCAGCCAGTGTTGTGGAGGAGAAACATATTGTGAAGGAGAAGAGGTGTTTTGGGCAGGTTTAGTGCAATGCAGCGACAGGGGTTGGGAACAGCTTTGTGTGGCCCCACAGGCATTGCCTGAGCCCTGGGCATGTGGCTCAGTGGTGGCACACACAGCTCTGTCCTGTTTCCATGCGGGACTGTGCTCCGTCTGGGCTCCATCCAGCTCCACTCTGCAGGGACAGGGTTCCCTGGTAGGTAACCAGAGAGAGGAGTATCCTTCAGGAGTGGCAGGCTGCCAGGAGCAGCTGCAAAACTCCACATCACTTAAAAAAAAAAAAATTGCAACAAAAATAAATAAATCCAGATATTCCCTCTCCTGGCAGCACTGGCTCAGCCTTCCCTCCCAGTTAAGGGTACTGGTGAACCTGGGTGTCCTTTAAAGCCTGCTCTTGCTGGAGTACCATGCAAGGGTGGATTAGTTTAATAATTATATCTTAAACAACATTGGCTCTCATGACAGAGCAGCCTCGGCTCCCAGACTTCCTGCTGCCCAGCAGCAGGACCAGGGCATTGCAGAGCAGCACCTTTCCACGGGTGATGCTCATGGAGAAGGCTCCATTGTGAAACCGGAGGTCAGAGCCCAGAGCTTATGTCTTAGTCTTTGACTGGGGAGCCTAAATATTTATCCTGTTCTGTCCCTAATGAAAACAAATTGTCAACAGTTGTTCAGTAACTGACTAAATTAAAATCTGTAATTAGTCAATTAGATTAAAGAGTTGGCACAACCTGATTGTATCATGCTGGTTAGGTTATTAAGAGAAAGGGTG